GCAGGTGGCAGGCAGAAGCAGGTGGCAGGCAGGGGCAGGTGGCAGCCAGAGGCAGGTGGCAGGCAGGGGCAGGTGGCAGGCAGGGGCAGGTGGCAGGCAGGGGCAGGTGGCAGGCAGGGGCAGGTGGCAGGCAGGGGCAGGTGGCAGGCAGGGGCGGGTTGCAGCCAGGGGCAGGTGGCAAGCAGGGGCAGGTGGCAGACATGGGCAGGTGGCAGGCAGGAGCAGGTGGCAGGCAGGGGCAGGTGGCAGCCAGAGGCAGTGGCAGGCAGGGGCAGTGGCAGGCTGGGCAGGTGGCAGGCAGGGGCGGGTTGCAGGCAGGGGCAGGTGGCAGGCAGGGGCAGGTGGCACGCAGGTGGCAGGCAGGGGCAGGTGGCAGGCAGGGGCAGGTGGCAGGCAGGGGCAGGTGCAGGCAGGGGCAGGTGGCAGGTGTGGTGTGTGTGTGTGTGTGTGTGTGTGTGTGTGTGTGTGGTGTGTGTGTGTGTGTGTGTCTGTGTGTGTCTGTGTGTCTGTGTGTGTCTGTGTTGTGTGTGTGTGTATGTGTGTGTGTGTGTTGTGTGTGTGTGTGTGTGTGTGTGTGTGTGTGTGTATGTGTGTGTGAGTGTGTACTCACCTAGTTGTACTCACCTAGTTGAGGTTGCAGGGGTCGAGTCCTAGCTCCTGGCCCCGCCTCTTCACTGGTCGCTACTAAGTCACTCTCCCTGAACAGTGAGCTTTATCATACCTCTGCTTAAAGCTATGTATGGATCCTGCCTCCACTACATCGCTTCCCAAACTATTCCACTTCCTGACTACTCTGTGGCTGAAGAAATACTTCCTAACATCCCTGTGATTCATCTGTGTCTTCAACTTCCAACTGTGTCCCCTTGTTGCTGTGTCCCATCTCTGGAACATCCTGTCTTTGTCCACCTTGTCAATTCCTCTCAGTATTTTGTATGTCATTATCATGTCCCCTCTATCTCTCCTGTCCTCAAGTGTCGTCAGGTCGATTTCCCTTAACCTCTCCTCGTAGGACATACCCCTTAGCTCTGGGACCAGTATTGTTGCAAACCTTTGCACTTTCTCTAGTTTCTCTACGTGCTTGGCTAGGTGTGGGTTCCAAACTGGTGCCGCATACTCCAATATGGGCCTAAGGTACACGGTAAACAGGGTCCTGAACGATTCCTTATTAAGATGTCGGAATGCTGTTCTGAGGTTTTCTAGGCGCCCATATGATGCAGCAGTTATTTGGTTGATGTGCGCTTCAGGAGATGTGCCCGGTGTTATACTCACCCCAAGATCTTTTTCCTAAAGTGAGGTTTGTAGTTTCTGGCCCCCTAGACTGTACTTCGTCTGCGGTCTGCTTTGCCCTTCCCCAATCTTCATGACTTTGCACTTGGTGAGGTTGAACTCCAGGAGCCAATTGCTCGACCAGGTCTGCAGCCTGTCCAGATCCCTTTGTAGTTCTGCCTGGTCTTGTGTGTACTCACCTATTTGTACTCACCTATTTGTGGTTGCAGGGGTCGATTCACAGCTCCTGGCCCCGCCTCTTCGCTGATTGCTACTAGGTCCTCTCTCTCCCTGCCCCATGAGCTCTATCATACCTCGCCTTAAAACTATGTATGGTTCCTGCCTCCACTACATCACTTTCTAGGCTATTCCATGGCCTGACTACTCTATGACTGAAGAAATACTTCGTAACATCCCTTTGATTCATCTGAGTCTTCAACTTCCAATTGTGACCTCTTGTGTCTGTGTCCCATCTCTGGAACATCCCGTCTTTGTCCACCTCGTCTATTCCGCGCAGTATTTTATATGTCGTTATCATGTCTCCCCTGACCCTCCTGTCCTCCAGTGTCGTCAGGCCGATTTCCCTCAACCTTTCTTCATAGGACAATCCCCGTAGCTCTGGGACTAGTCTTGTTTGCAACCTTGCACTTTCTCTAATTTCTTGACGTGCTTGACTAGGTGTGGATTCCAAACTGGTGCTGCATACTCCAGTATGGGCCTGACGTAGATGATATACAGAGTCTTAAAACGAATCCTTACTGAGATATCGGAACGCTATCCGTAGGTTTGCCAGGCGCGCCGTATGCTGCAGCAGTTTATCTGATTGATGTGCGCCTCAGGAGATATGCTCGGTGTTATACTCACCCCCAGATCTTTTTCCTTGAGTGAGGTTTGCAGTCCTTGGCCATCTAAACTATATTGTGTCTGCGATCTTCTTTGCCCTTCCCCAATCTTTTATGACTTTGCATTTGGCAGGGTTAAATTCAAGGAGCCAGTTGCTGGACCAGGCTTGTAGCCTGTCCAGGTCTCTTTGTGTCCTGCCTGATCCTCATCCGATTTGTTTTCTTCTCATTAACTTCACATCATCTGCAAACAAGGACACTTCTGAGTCTATACCTTCCGTTATTTTTCGTTCACATTTTACCAAGAACAGCACGGTCCTAGGACTGACCCTGTGGAACCCCGCTTGTCACAGGCGCCCACTCTGACACCTCGTCGCGTACCATGACTCGTTGTTGCCTCCCTGTCAGATATTTTCGATCCATTGCAGTGCCTTTCCTGTTATGTGTGCCTGGTCTTCTAGCTTTTGCAGTAACCTCTTGTGAGGAACTGTGTCGAAGGCCTTCTTGCAGTCCAAAAATATGCAGTCGATCCACTGTGTGTGTGTGTGTGTGTGTTGTGTGTGTGTGTGTGTGTGTGTTGTGTGTGTTGTTGTGTGTGTGTGTGTGGGGGTGTGTGTGTGTTTTGTGTGTGTGTTTTGTTGTGTGTGTGTGTGTGTGTTTGCGTGTGTGTGTGTGAGTGTGTGTGTGTGTGTGTGTGTATGTGTGTGTGTGTGTGTGTGTGGTGTGTGTGTGTGTACTGACTGAAATTCACATCACCGTCTATTAGGTTACCTCAGATGGCGTTTATCTCATACAGCAGATGGTGCTCATCTCACCAGTCAGATGGCGCTCATCTCACCCGTCAGATGGTGCTCATCTCACCCGTCAGATGGTGCTCATATCATCCGTCAGATGTCTCAGTAGTATCAGTTCCCAGTAGTACCAGTTACCAGTAACCAGTTACCAGTAGTATGACTCACTACCAACCGTCTGCGTGAATCACTGACTGTTACAATTCATGTTGCTACTGACCATAGCCTGTTTTTGAACGCCGCTCACCCCTAGGAACCAATTCGTGAGTCAGTCTTAAGATAGAGAGGAGAGAGGCAGGCCAGGCGTGGTGCTCCCCATATTTACCCTCCAGTATACGTACTAGAATATCCAACGTGAGTGTTATTACCCAATCCACCGTACCGAACCCCCACATGACAGATGGTGTTCATCTCACCCGTCAGATGGTGCTCATCTCACCCGTCAGATGGTGCTCATCTCACCCGTCAGATGGTGCTCATCTCACCCGTCAGATGGTGCTCATCTCACCCGTCATATGGTGCTCATCTCACCCGTCAGATGGTGCTCATCTCACTCGTCAGATGGTGCTCATCTCACCCGCCAGATGGTGGTCATCTCACCCGTCAGATGGTGCTCATCTCACCCGTCAGATGGTGCTCATCTCACCCGTCAGATGGTGTTCATCTCATTCGTCAGATGGTGCTCATCTCACCCGTCAGATGGTGCTCATCTCATCCGTCAGATGGTGCTCATCTCACTTGTCAGATGGTGCTCATCTCACCCGTCAGATGGTGCTCATCTGACAGGAATATCTCACCTTGAAGCATCTTTCTGTCACCAGCATCCTCATCTGTTCTCTCTCTCCTACATTCCATTAAAGTATATTTCCTCTTATTATAATTTTATTAATTTATTCTTTCCTTGATCTTTATTACTCTGTGTTACATTTGTTCGAACTTTATTGAGTCAAGTTAGGATTGGTAAGTTTCAATCCTCTCTACTGTGAAACTTCTGCCACAATTCAATATAAGAATACAGTGATACCCAGGATGTAAAGGAGTGGTGTTGGCTGGTTTGTGATTGAAAACGCAATGCGAAGACAACACTTAAACCGGGGGAAAAAAGCGTTTCATCTCAAGATTTGCTAAAGTTTTTTCCTGGGCTAAACATTGTTTATCTCTGCTTATTCTGCACGTAGTGTCACCCATCATAGCTGTTGTTATTATACTCAAGGGTTTAAACTAAACAATAGTGACAAACTCCCTACATAGGATGACTGACAGTCATACACTATCTCGATCTCTCAGAGACCTATACTTAAATCTACTGTATTGTACTATTTAGTACTATCACAAGATTGGTGCTATTGCTACCATAACTATTACCATATAGCTGCTACAACCGCTGTCTCTTGATAGCTGCTACTACTAGTACCACTACTATCACCAGATAGTTGCTATTGCTACCACCACTATCACCAGATAACTACTACTGCTACCACCACTATCACCAGATATCTACTACTACTAGCACATATATTACCAGATAACTACTACGACCACCACTATAACCAGATATCTACTACTACTACCACCACTATCACCAGATAACCACTACTACCACCACTATTACCAGGTAACTACTACTACCAGCATCACTATCACCAGATAATGCTGCCAACACTATCACCAGATAACTACCACCACTATCACCAGATAACCACTATTACCACCACTAGATAACATCAACAAGCACGTCGAGGCTTCTTAAATAAAAATATTTAGCTTAAAGCAATAAATTCTTTCTCTCTTCCATTTCCTTCATTTTTTTTACGAATAAATATACACGGAGATTCTTTTGGGAAGGGAGAGAGAAACACATGTAGAGAAAATACTGTTTATTGATGAGTAAGGAAGGTAGAAGGCGAGGGTCTGCCCGGCCCACCTCTCTAGCATAACCCAGTCTGGTTCTTTTTTGTACCGCTTCTCTTTGAAGGTGTCTTAAATCGTGGAGTTTTATATATATATATAATATATATATATATATATATATATATATATATATATATATATATATATATATATATATATATATATATATATACAATATGTGTGTGTGTGTTGAAATGTAATAATGAACATGTGTATTTCTGTTTTGTATTGGTACATATGTGTGTATGTATATATTTTTTATGATACTTTGGCATCTGCAACACAACACAGTTGTGATCAATAACGATGTTCCTGCTATCAAGTAGTTATACAACGTAGCCAAATGAACAGACTAGCGTAAGTGATAACAGAACGACATACACTGCGTACGGGAAGCGTGCTGCGATCTTCGTCAGACCGCAGTATTCTTGGTGTTACGAACAGGAGGCATGGAATATCACACAGGTAAGGTTGGTCGATGGGGTTAGTGTTTTGGTGGGAAGAGGCGAGGGGTTATGTGACACACTAGGCAGTTGTAGGAGAGGGTCTGGGCACTGTGCCGTAGGTGGACTGCTGAGGTCGCAGGTCTTGCCCAGATTTGCATTGGAGCATTTACTGTAGAGCTTGGTCAAGCTTTACTCAGAGGGAAAAGGTTTCTACAATGAAGGTTTGCTCTACGTCAAGTCTCCTGCCATGCAACATTGCCCTTAGAGAATCTAAGTTACTGTTGCCGGCATTTAATGAGCCTGTGACCTCTTCTCGACTCTAAGTTACTGTGATGCTGATGACGCAGTCTGTCTAGGGTGATAGCGGAAAGCTTCCTAGAGCTTACCTCAGCAGGAGGCGACGCTACAACCTCTCCCCATCTGCCCTTGTAGAGAAATCGGAGGTGGACAAGTCAACGCACATAACATGATATCATCCTGTGTTCAAGTAATTGACGAACTGTAACGTCAACTCACTTCTCCACCTCTTACCACAGAATTTTATTCCTGAAGGGTATCACAAGTTAACCTCGTATCACACTGTGTCGACGCCTATAAGATACTGTGTTGGTGCGTGTCACCTTGAGCATGTTACCTTCCTGCCTCCTCTTTGTACACCAGACAGAGCACATCACCTGTAGAGTACCACCTGCCTGTACACTTAACAGAGCATGCTAGTCCCCGCAACGTTACTACATGATTTGTAGTAGCTGGTAAATTTGGGTCGATTCATACACCCGGAGATGCACTCTGTGATATGTATGACAGCACTGGTTCTTATACTCAGGAGATGCGCTCTGTGATATGTATGGCACTGTGCCGGTTCACCTGACGCTGTATGACAGTGCTAGTGAACCAGCGTGGCATACCATCCATTATTTCCCTCAACCAATCGTCAAGGAATATTTACTAAGCACACCTGCAAGTCTCTAATAACCTAGAGGTAAAGAGATCACACTACACGGCATATGAAAGAGTCTCCTGGTCCAGCAAGTTTCCCACTCGTTGGGCTCCCGTGATCATCAGTGGTCCACTTTATAGTTAGGTTTGTGAAAATGCACCTCTGGGTTTCAGCGCACTGGGAATTGATTCTATTTCCTCGGATTTATTGAGTTTCTTTGAAGAATTGAAGCAGTTTTTTGCCCTGTTCTCAAACTCCGAATTAATCTTTTTTTTTTTTTAACTTGAGGCATACACATATATATTGTTTGAACATATTTGGTTAAAAAATACATATAAAGGTAATAATGAGTGAGGCTACTAAGGTTTGATACCACAGAGGAAATGTTCACATCCGCCATTTCTTCCCATCAGCTCAGTTGAGGCAAAAACTGAACTTCCAGTTAATGGCCGTACTGGGAGTCAGACTGAGAGTCTCCAGTTGATGACCTTGCTGGGAGAGTCGTCCGGGTCATCCCTCCGGCAGGCTCCGGCTAGGTTCATAAGGGAAGGTGACCTGGCCAGAGGTCACCTGGGAGGTGCTTCCCGAGCTTCTCCCTCCGCAGTGTCATCGTCAGGACCGTCGCCTTCGTCAATCTCCCAAATAAACCTGACCGAGGAGCCCACAGACTCCTGCCGGTGGCTCAGACGAGGGTGCCTGAAAGGGTTAGCATATCCGTGAATCTCGGGCTGGTTATTGCCGGCATCGTAACTATCTTCTTCACTCTCCAGGAAGAGAGAGCGTTGGCCACCAGGAGGGTGGAGACGCGCAGACACTCCGTCTTCCTCGGGCTCTTCGTGAGCGCTGCGACGCGTGATGGTCCCGCCGCTGTCGGTGGATACTGTTGAGTAACGTCTAATGGGCCACCGCTGGATTCCGGCGCTGAGCACCGAGGAGTTCGTGGAGGCCAGAGAGTCGCTTCTGGTTGTCACTGAGCCGTTGGACATTCTGGGCCGGGTCCATCTGACTGAAGGGTTGGAGGGGCGGTGATGGCGATAACAGTCGCTCAGTAAAGGGTCGTCGGAAGACGCAGAGGAAGCAGAATCCTGACGTAAACACTGGCGGCACCTGGACGCGGGCCGATCCATCGGCGTCAACTTGAAGGACACTGTACTCTCGCGGCGGGGACTCGAAGCTCTCCGCTTGTCCGGCGGCAGCGGGGAGGTCACAGGTCGCCCGTTCCTGAGCGAACACACCAGCTGGTTGTGGCCACAAGTGCCGCACTCGGCAGCGTAACTGTACAGCGATGCGGTGTCTGGCTCAATGATCCTCACGGGGGTAGTTGTGTGACCGTTGCCCATCTTGGGATGATGAGAAGAGCGGGAGAAAGTGGGCGAGGCTGGGCTAGGTGGCCGCCACCAGCATACTATCTTCAGCACCTCTTTACTTGCTGTCTCATTACGATAGACGTAAATGAAAGGACTCGTGCAGGAGGAAGACAGTGCTATGTACGTCACTACCTCGTCCACGTAAGGTATGTCCCTCGTCCATCCCCCGGCTTCGAATATTTTAAAAATAAAATATGGCAGCCACGACGTCACAAAGGAGGCAATAACGATGACAGCTGTCTTGACTGCCCGTCCTTCTTCGCGGAAGAAGAGCGAGGAGAAACTGATATTAGCGGAGCGGCGGCGAGGTGGACGAGACTTGCACCTGACGGAGTTATGGTTGCCGGAGTCTGGGGTGGAGGGGCAGTCCGGGACGATGATCTCCGCGGGGTTGTGGCACACGCTGTGGCGCCGTGTGCGGGCGGAGTTGCGCCGCGCCGCGCGGTACATACGCACATAGATCCAGCACAGTACCAACAGCGGCACCAGAAACCCACACAGCGCCAGAAGCACCGCGTAGTACAGCCCGAACGTGATGGGCACGAGTGATACCACGTCCTGACCTAAGAAAAAGAAAAGACACTTGTCAGATTTTTACAACGTTAATTGGCAGGTTTATATATATCAAAGCCGATTTTTAACTACTTTTAACTATATAAGAGAGCGTGGAAGGCAGCACTCTCATTCTTATGTGGAACATAATTTTTTTTGATGCTACTAAAAATATAATTTGGCGGTTATATGAGTTAGTTTAAAAAAATATTTTTCAAATGTCTGTGAATTTATGTCACTGTCTCGTGGGGTGAGTATGGCACATCCAGAAATTTATTGTCTTCACGAAAAAAATGGCGTTTAAGACATGCATTAGCATCAGTAGGGAGAAGCTGACTCTTGCATGAGAAGTGGACAACATCTGACGAGTATCGGTGAAAAATTGAAGGTCTTAATTTCTCTATATTGTGTATAGCAATTTATTATTTAAGTAATCTAACCTAACCTAAACTAACCTATTCTAATCTAGCCAAAACCTAACTGAACTTCAATTTAAATTTACCTAACTTAACCAGACCTCAATGTAAGTTAACTTAACTTTAATTTCAACTAATCCAGCCTAACTTAAAACCGTGTGGATCACCCAGCCGACATCGTGAGTAAAGGCAGTTGACCGATACCATCAGAAAACCTCGCCTCACACAGCTGAGCTGCACATTATAAACCTGAGCCATTAGTAATTACCCTGGAGGTACAACGCAGCCTGAAACACCAGTGGTTACCCTGGAGGTACAACGCAGCCTGAACCACCAGTAATTACTCTGGAGGTACAACGCAGCCTGAACCACCAGTAATTACTCTGGATTTGCAACGCAGCCTGAACCACCAGTGATTACTCTGGAGGTACAACGCAGCTTGAACCACCAGTGTTTACCCTGGAAGTACAACGCAGCCTGAACCACCAGCGTTTACCCTGGAGGTACAACGCAGCCTGAACCACCAGTGATTACCCTGGAGGTACAACGCAGCCTGAACCACCAGTGATTACCCTGGAGGTACAACGCAGCCTGAACCACCAGTGATTACTCTGGATTTACAACGCAGCCTGACCCACCAGTGATTACTCTGGAGGTACAACACAGCTTGAACCACCAGTGTTTACCTTGGAGGTACAACGCAGCCTGAACCACCAGTGATTACTCTGGAGGTACAACACAGCTTGAACCATCAGTGTTTACCCTGGAGGTACAACGCAGCCTGAACCACCAGTGATTACTCTGGAGGTACAACGCAGCCTGAACCACCAGTGGTTACTCTGGAGGTACAACGCAGCCTGAACCACCAGTGTTTACCTTGGAGGTACAACGCACTCATATTTATAATACTTGCCACGATAATGAACGTATTAAGATCACATGATAGCAATTATTCCTTAAAACTTTCGGAAATTTATGAGAGCGATTTCTGAAGCCGATGTCGAGCTGCGTTGACTGCTGATTAAGTTAGGTTAAGTTAGGTCATGATGAAATCTGTAACTAAGACATGTAAAATCAAGTGAGAGAAATGTCTCTTGTTGTAGAATTAACACAGTGATACAATTAGCAAGTACATGCGCAAACTCTCAGTAATGATTGTGGATCACGGGTGGTTGAGAGCGTGATACACTGACTGTAGCTGGGTGGTGAGCGAGTAGTGGGCGGACGGTGGGCGGGTCACAAGCCTACCACCGTTTAAGAGAGAGTTAGAGTCCTCCTTATAGCTAAGTTTCTCTCCGGCCACCACACACTTGTCAGTAGCCTGTCATATTGCCTGTCAGTAGCCTGTCATATTGCCTGTCAGTAGCCTGTCATATTGGCTGTCAGTAGCCTGTTATATTGCCTGTTAGTAGCCTGTCATATTGCCTGTCAGTAGCCTGTTATATCGCCTGTCAGTAGCTTGTTATATCATCTGTCAGTAGCCTGTCATATCACCTGTCAGTAGCCTGTCATGTCACCTGTGGGCAGCCTATCATATCACCTTCCTGTACTCTGTCATTTAGGAAATAAATGGTATAAAATACTGACACAATGGAAATATAAACACAAATGCAGTATAATGTGATCCTTTATTGACAACGTTTCACCCACACAGTTGGCTTTTTCAAGTCACACACGGATCTACCTGGGGTTGGAAGGTACGAGGGTATTTATAGGCATGTTCAGAATGTTGAGGTCAGGTGGAGAATGCTGCATCTGATGATCTACCGGGTGGGGTTATAGAGTCTTGGGTAGCTTGGCAGGGGTATTGGACAAGTTGTGAGTAGACCTTCTGCAGTGTTCTATGTTCTTATGTGGGATAGCGATGAAGAAGTTTCTTGGCGAGTGGTTCAGCTATGTTATAGAAGCCATTGTTCTGGTTGAAATTGCTGGTTGTAGAGATGAGCGATGATTCCAGGATTCTTCTGTATTGAGTGTTGTCTTCTGTGGCTATAAGTCTTGAGTTTCTGTAGTTAATTAAATGGTTGTGTGAATTGCGATGTTGTACACAGGCATTCCTTGTATCGTCAGTCCTGCTTGCATATTGGTGTTCTGAAATACGTGTTTGGAGGTCTCTTGATGTTTCGCCCACATATAATTTGTTGCAGTCATTACAAGGGATTATGTATACCCCTGCAGAGGATGGAGGCTTGTCCTGTCTACTACTGGTGATGTCCTTGATGGTCGTGGTTGTGGAGGTAGATACTTGGAATGATGTTTTCGCAAAGATGTTGGAAACATGTTTGGCAATGGAGTTGGTTGGGAGGACTATGGGAAGATCTTCCCATTCCAGCCAGCGATTTCATCGACCTTGTTGAACTATGTGTTGGCTTTACGTGTTTCTCTTTCGAAAATCACCTCTTTCAGCAGACTTTTGGACTACCCATGGGTTCGCCACTCAGTGCAGTCCTGGCGAACCTATACATGGAACATCTAGAAGCCGAACGTTTCTCCACCATTATTCCTTCGTCTGTCACCTGGCTCCGTTATGTTGACGACATTCTCCTCATAACTCCTAAACGCTTCAACGTTCAAGCTCTCCAAGACAAGCTCAACCAGGTCGAGCCTTCAATCCAGTTCACACTTGAAGAAGAAGTCGACAACACTCTTCCTTTCCTTGATGTTCTGCTCTGCAAAGCTGACCACGAACTTCGTTTTAAAGTCTATCGAAAACCCACCAACCAAAACGATCTTCTCCACTTCTACTCTCACCACGACACCAAAACTAAACGTGGTGTAATTATAGGCTTCTTCCTACGTGCACTCAGAATCTGCAGCAATGAGTTCCTTGAGGAAGAATGCACTATAATTGAACATGTATTTTCTAAACTCCACTATCCTCGTCACTTCATCAGAGACTGCAGACGGCGGGCATTAAACATCTTCAACACACCCAGAGAAGAAACTGCCGAGAAGAGATACATAGTCCTCCCAACCAACTCCATTGCCAAACATGTTTCCAACATCTTTGCGAAAACATCATTCCAAGTATCTACCTCCACAACCACGACCATCAAGGACATCACCAGTAGTAGACAGGACAAGCCTCCATCCTCTGCAGGGGTATACATAATCCCTTGTAATGACTGCAACAAATTATATGTGGGCGAAACATCAAGAGACCTCCAAACACGTATTTCAGAACACCAATATGCAAGCAGGACTGACGATACAAGGAATGCCTGTGTACAACATCGCAATTCACACAACCATTTAATTAACTACAGAAACTCAAGACTTATAGCCACAGAAGACAACACTCAATACAGAAGAATCCTGGAATCATCGCTCATCTCTACAACCAGCAATTTCAACCAGAACAATGGCTTCTATAACATAGCTGAACCACTCGCCAAGAAACTTCTTCATCGCTATCCCACATAAGAACATAGAACACTGCAGAAGGTCTACTCACAACTTGTCCAATACCCCTGCCAAGCTACCCAAGACTCTATAACCCCACCCGGTAGATCATCAGATGCAGCATTCTCCACCTGACCTCAACATTCTGAACATGCCTATAAATACCCTCGTACCTTCCAACCCCAGGTAGATCCGTGTGTGACTTGAAAAAGCCAACTGTGTGGGTGAAACGTTGTCAATAAAGGATCACATTATACTGCATTTGTGTTTATATTTCCACTCTGTCATTTAACCTGTCTGTACTCCGTCATTTCGCTTTCCTGTACTCCGTCATTTCACTTTCCTGTACTCTGTTACTTCACCTCTGTCATTTCACCTGCCTGTGCTCTGTCATTTCCCCTGCCTGTACTCTGTCATTTCCCCTGCCTGTACTCTGTCATTTCCCCTGTCTGTACTCTGTCATTTCCCCTGCCTGTACTCTGTCATTTCTCCTGCCTGTACTCTGTCATTTCCCCTGCCTGTACTCTGTCATTTCCCCTGCATGTACTCTGTCATTTCCCCTGCCTGTACTCTGTCATTTCCCCTGCCTGTACTCTGTCATTTCCCTGCCTGTACTCTGTCATTTCTCCTGCCTGTACTCTGTCATTTCCCCTGCCTGTACTCTGTCATTTCCCCTGCCTGTACTCTCTCATTTCTCCTGCCTGTACTCTGTCATTTCCCCTGCCTGTACTCTGTCATTTCCCCTGCCTGTACTCTGTCATTTCCCCTGCCTGTACTCTGTCATTTCCCCTGCCTGTACTCTGTCATTTCCCCTGCCTGTACTCTGTCATTTCCCCTGCCTGTACTCTGTCATTTCCCCTGCCTGTACTCTGTCATTTCCCCTGCCTGTACTCTGTCATTTCCCCTGCCTGTACTCTGTCATTTCCCCTGCCTGTACTCTGTCATTTCCCCTGCCTGTACTCTGTCATTTCCCCTGCCTGTACTCTGTCATTTCCCCTGCCTGTACTCTGTCATTTCCCCTGCATGTACTCTGTCATTTCCCCTGCATGTACTCTGTCATTTCCCCTGCCTGTACTGTCACTTTCCCTACTTGATGTCTCTATCTTCAAACAATCTCTAGGCTGTCTCGCTACATTCCCTACTTAGAGTTAACTAACTACTTAACACAAGAACTTTGAAAACACTTCCGTGAA